ATCATATATAGAGATTTGGTTTTCTTTACTACAAAGAGAAAGGATGTACAATGGCATCTAATATTCTGTATTACAAAGCAAAACAATTATATTAATTTCTCATAATTAATTTTTTCTGTGATTGCATTAGTTGGATCATGTAGATCTACATGTTAATTGAAAGTGATTCATTGTACGATTGTCCTTTGGATTGGTTGGACAACGTGTTGGGATTGTCAAGGAAGATAGTAGCCAATTTGATCTTGATTTCTTTTATCTCTAATGACAATGCATGTATAATTACATCAGTGTAATCTCCTTTCTCTAACTATCACATCAATCTAATTTCTATATAAGAAAATAAAAAATATTATAAGCCTTCCCATCGTCCACATTGCTTGCATGATTCAATTAATCTATGTCCCCATCAGCTGGATCAGCTCTACATAGCTGAGTGTGATTCATTGGACGTGCTGTCCAACATTTGAACTAGATTTCTTAATATAGTATCATTTAAGGAGTTCTGCAAAACTTTGATAATGCAATTGAGTGACACATGAAATGCTTTTTAGGTGATAAATAGAAGGAATATTGAAGACAACCTTTAGAGATTATCTATTAAATTTCATTTATGTTCCATCTCATATAATGGAAGAACGTATGCTATTTTTTTTATGTTATCATATTTCTACTATGAGAGAAATCAATGCAAAATTTAGTATGAAAAATATTTATATGATATAAAATACAGGAGATTATATTATGACCATACCTCATGTGAAGTAATATCATTCATGATATGACCAATTATTGCAGTAGCTTGGACAATCTTTGGGAAACTAGTAATCCACTCAAATGCCTCCTTAGTAGCTATTTCTCCCATTCCAATGAAAGAAGCACATTCGATTATAGGATATGTTGAACTTACGAGGGAAATAGGTAGATATTTTTTCAAAGTTGGCACGCAATGTTGAGCACTCCATTTGGATTCCTCAAAATAAGCTTCAGATAAATCTTTCATCTGTACCCAAGTAAAATTTAACCATTCCTTAATGTTTATAATTTGTGAGTAGTGTCTATGAGTAGGACAATCTAAGTTCAATACTATCGCATTTGAAAAGTGAAAATAAGATGAATATTATAATCTCATCACTCATCGCTTCCTTTAGATAGGTTATGCGATATTTCTCACTAGAAGTCAATAAATCTTCAAACTCTTCAAAGGTGTGGATTAGATTTAGATAATAATCCTTCATGTACTCTAGTAATTGATGAGTATTAGTTTCACCATCTTTAGAAAAACATAACATAAACATAGATGTTGTTATTTTGCTATACATGATGAGTAAAATTATTATGCGATATTTTATTTTATTATGTGATATTATTAGTGGCACTTTTTGTTATCATATTTTTGAGCCATGATAGTAAAAGGTAATCTGTCCATTAATATGAGATTTGCAAACCTTTGAATTGCCTTAATGAGTTGTTGACTCTCCTCCAATGTGCCATAGACATCATATATGTTGTCCAGAATTGAAATAAGGGCAATCATCTTGGTCGTTATCACTGGTTCACGAGAATAGTAAAGTTCAAAGAATACCCCCAGGATCCAGAAGTAGCATTCCACCAATCTATCTCGAGCAAAATTGAGATTTTTTGAGGGAGCTAAATCATTCCACCACCTTCAAGTCAATTCACAAATCAAAGTATACTCCCATGGCAACAGCATGCTCATTTTGTGGAGGCTATGCTCCTCCTTGTCATCCATCAATCGTCTGTCAATTTCCTGTAATGAAAAATGGCTGCAATCTATAGGGTCAAGTTTTTTCATAGGGAGTCTCAGGTTGTATTCCTCGTGGTGGTCCATGAATAACATTTCAACCACTCTCTTGATGATAGTAGCCCCATCAGTCTTCATGAAACTGTGATGGATATGTGGGAGGGAATCGGGTTGAGGAAGTTTATGATTGTGTTCCTCCTACTGGTCCATTAATAATGATTTAACTTCCTATAAAGAAAGAAATCTATCACATTATATAACTCGGTTGTGATTTAGCAATGGGATAAATTGAATTTTAATAAAAAAAAATATGCACTCAAATCTAATTTGAATATTCAAATAATAATTAGTTAAACTTAAATAAAAAAAAGACTCTCGTGGGATCATTTTCCTGACATAAATCTTAGACTCAAATTTAAATAAGCTTAAATTATACTTAACATATTTAAATAAAAGAAAACATGTTGGAATTTAACTTGAAGATCAGATTTGGATTTTACTTAATATAGAAAAATTGTACTCAAAACATGTTGGATTTTACTTGACTCAAATTCAAATAAATACATGTTTCCATCAACCGACGACGGAGTTGTTTTCGGCGAACACGTGGCTGTGCTTATCTCTTCGCTGTGGTGGATAATCAGCTCCGGGAGTACATTACGGTGGGTGACCTGTAACTGCAGCCTCAAATCAAATGGGACGTATATTTGGACTTAATGTCAGCTACAGCTACAGTTTTGTTTTTGTTTTTCGAAAAAGGGAATGCATTAGCACTTAAGAAAGAGTGTTGCGGCTGCTAGGCAAGGCTGTCGCATCAGCCTTCCCAAAATAAAGATGATTGTGAGCAGAAGTGTTAAGTTGTGTGGGGATGAAGCTGAGCTCCACAACCTTTCAGCCTCATACAAAGAGTAGCATTATTAAGTGCTCGAGTCGCTGTACTCAGCACCATCAATCGTCGAGTGCCTGAGTCGTCCAACTCGACACCATCAGTCTCCAAGTGCTCGAGTTGCTATACTCGGCACCATCAGTCCTCAAAGTGCCCAAGTCACTGTACTCAACACCATTAGTCCCCAATTGCCCGAGTCGCCCCACTCGGCACCATCAGTCTTCAAAGTGCCCGAGTAGTTGTACTCGGCACCATCAGTCCTCAAGTGCCCGAGTCGCCCCACTTGGCACCATCAGCCTTCAAAGTGCCCGAGTCACTGTACTCGGCACCATCAATCCTCAGGTGCCCGAGTCACCCCACTCAGCACCATCAAACTTCAAAGTGCCTGAGTCACTGTACTCGACACCATTAGTCGTCAAGTGCCCGAGTCGCTCGACTCAGCACCATCAGTCTCCAAGTGCTCGAGTCACTGTACTCAGCACCATCAGTCTCCAAGTACTCGAGTCACTCTACTCGGCACCATCAGTCTCCAAATGCCTAAGTCATTATACTCAACATCACCCGCCTTAAATAAATATCCAAGTCGCTGGTTTTGGCACTATCAAACCTTAAGGGACCAAGTCGATAAACCACGGGGCTTCAAAGCATTCGGTCAACAGTGCCAAAGCTGCTCAATTTTCAATGGGTTCCGCTTCCAATAAACACTGCCCGAAAGTCACACCACCTATACAGCCCCGCATTAGTCAAGGAACAAAACCACGCCTCGGGAGAATCGATGCATGGTCCTCTCCAGGGGGAGAGAATGATAGAGCGTATTTTAGCATACTTGTCATGACTGCATTTATGGCAGCACGGCCAACCAGACCCCACCACCTCATCCTCCTTTCCACGATCGGGCTGGGGTCGTCGGGTACAACCCCAACCAAGGAACCCATGTTGACGTCGTCAAGTACAAAAGCTGATCCCGAAAACTCAGGACAACACCATCAAGTACAAAGTAACCCCGGGAACTCGGGACAACACCGCCAAGTACAAAACCGCCCCGATGCAGACATCGATTGCACAGAAGGTATGAGCTAGCTGCCTGGAGGGGTCGACAGTAATTAAACTATCCCTGTATGATCAACTCTCGTGCGCAGGTATAAGAGCCAACTACTTGGCTACGCCAAGGGGGGCTTTTCCTAAATAGTTTGGGAGAGGACTTTGAGTGAGATCCAACTCTACTAACTTGACCTTCGAAAGGTCGAGTCAGAAAAACATCCCCCTGAATTTGACCTGTGTGCAAGGCCCAATGACAAGGAAAAGGACGATGACCTGCTCTGCTCGACCTGACCCGATGACCGACCCAAAGTCTTCGTGAGCGTCTCCTTGGACATCTAGAGCCGAACCAAGCCGTGCAGACTCCCTGGCCATGGTATAAAGTTCACTTACATTTTGGTACTAAAAGGAGGGCCCGAAGCCTGCACCTCGGCCGAGCAAACTCGCTCCCGAGCTGTGCACCTTAGTTATAAGAACTTAGCTCCCCTACAGAAGGGAACAGTAATAAGGTCATTTAGTCCCATATTGGTTGAGGAGTATGAGAACCAAGGGTTCATAAGTCCGCCAGGTCTCCCTTACCCTTAGAGGCTTTTTTTGGAGCTCACATGCTACAAAAAGGATAAAATTGTGTGGGGTACACCCATCGCCCAATTCCTCGCGAGCCTATGGGTCGTGGGCTGACCAAATGTTCCCTTATCATATATGATTTTTTGGGATCCTTCGTAATCTTGTCATGAATTTTGGGATCATGTTCCCACAACGAACTCCAACATTAAAAAAAAAAAAAGGTGGTGGTTAGATAGGCGTTAGCCCAGAGGGTATGGTGAGTGCGACGTACACCGGCCTGTAATCCCTCCACCATCAAGAGCGGGAGGTGGGTGGTCGCTGCTATGACCTGTGTGTAGGGCCATCGCTTCAACTTGTGTGCAGGGCCCGATGACGAGGAAGCGGACGATGACTTGCTCTGCTCGAGCCGACCCGACGACTGACCCAGAGTCTTCATGGGTGTCTCCTTGGACATCCGGAGCCGAACCAAGCCATGCTGACTTCCTGGCCATGGTATAAAGTTCACTTACATTTTGGCGCTAAAAGGAGGGCCCGAGGCCTGCACCTCGGCCGAGCAATCTCGCTCCCGAGCCGTGCACCTTAGTTATGAGCCCTTGGCTCCCCACGGGAGGGAGCACAGATAAGGTCATTTTGTCCAATATTGGTTGAGGAGTATGAGAACTAAGGGCTCATAAGTCTGCCAGGTCTCTTTTACCCTTAGAAACATTTTTTGGAGCTCACATGCTCCAAAAAGGATAAAACTATGTGGGGTACACCCATCGCCCAATTCCTTGTGAGCCTACGGGTCGTGGGTCGACCAAATGATCCTTTATCATATATGATTTTTTGGGATCCTTCATAATCTCGTCATGAATTTTTGGATCATGTTCCCACAACGAACTCCAACATAAAAAAAAGGTGGTGGTTAGATAGGCGTTAGCCCGGAGGGTATAGTGAGTGCGGCGTACACCGGCCTGTTATCCCTCCACTGTCAAGAGCGGGAGGTGGGTGGTCACTGCTATGACTTATGTGCAGGGCCCAATGACGAGGAAGTGGACGATGACCTGCTTTGCTCGACCCGACCCGAAGATTGACCCAGAGTCTTCATGTGCGTCTCCTTGGACATCCGGAGCCGAACAAAGTCGTGCTGACTCCCTGGCCACGGTATAAAGTTTACTAACATTTTGGCGCTAAAAGGAGGGCCCGAGGCCTGCACCTTGGCCGAGCAATCTCGCTCCCGAGTCGTGCACCTTAGTTATGAGCCCTTGGCTCCCCTACGGGAGGGAGCACTGATAAGGTCATTTAGTCCCATATTTGTTGAGGAGTATGAGAACCAAGGGCTCATAAGTCCGCCAGGTCTCCCTTACCCCTAGAGGCATTTTTTAGAGCTCACATGCTTCGAAAAGGAGAAAACCGTGCGAGGTACGCCCATTGCCCAATTCCTCGCGAGCCTATGAGTCACAGGCCGACCAAATAGTCCCCTATCATATATGATTTTTTGGGATCCTTCGTAATCTCGTCATGAATTTTGGAATCATTTTCCCACAACGAACTCCAACATAAAAAAAAAGGTGGTGGTTTGATAGGCGTTAGCCCGAAGGGTATGGTGAGTGCGGCGTACACCGGCCTGTTATCCCTCCACCGTAAAGAGTAGGAGGTGGGTGGTCGTTGCTATGACCTATGTGCAGGGCCCTGACTTCGACTTATGTGCAGGGCCCAACGACGAGGAAGCTGATGATGACCTGCTCTGCTCAACCCAACCCGACGACCGACCCAGAGTCTTCGTGGGCGTCTCCTTGAACATTCGGAGCCGAACTGAGCCACGCTAACTCCCTGGCCATGGTATAAAGTTCACTAACACTTTGGTGCTAAAAGGAGGGCCCGAGGCTTGCACCTTGGCTGAGCAATCTCGCTCCTGAGTCATGCACCTTAGTTATGAGCCCTTGGCTCCCCTACAGGAGGGAGCACTGATAAGGTCATTTAGTCCCATATTGGTTGAGGAGTATGAGAACCAATGGCTCATAAGTCCGCCAGGTCTCCCTTACCCTTAGAGGCATTTTTTGGACCTCACATGCTCTGAAAAGGATAAAACTGTGTGGGGTACGCCCATCGCCCAATTCCTTGAGAGCCTATGGGTCGCAAGCCGACCAAATGGTCTCTTATCATATATGATTTTTTGGGATCCTTTGTAATCTCATCATGAATTTTGGAATCATGTTCCCACAATGAACTCCAACATAAAAAAAAAGGTGGTGGTTTGATAGGCGTTAGCCCGAAGGGTATGGTGAGTGCGACGTACATCGGCCTGTTATCCCTCCACCGTCAAGAGCGGGAGGTGGGTGGTCGCTGCTATGACCTATGTGCAGGGCCTTGACTTCGACTTGTGTGCAGGGCGCAACGACGAGGAAGCGGACGATAACCTGCTCTGCTTAACCCGACCCAACGACCGACCCAGAGTCTTCGTGGGCGTCTCCTTGAACATCCGGAGCCGAACTGAGCCATGCTAACTCCCTGGCCATGGTATAAAGTTCACTAATATTTTGGTGCTAAAAGGAGGGCCCGAGGCTTGCACCTTGGCCGAGCAATCTCGCTCCCGAGTCGTGCACCTTTGTTATGAGCCCTTAGCTCCCTTATAGGCGGGAGCACTAACAAGGTCATTTAGTCCCATATTGGTTGAGGAGTATGAGAACCAATGGCTCATAAGTCCGCGAGGTCTCCCTTACCCTTAGAGGCATTTTTTGGAGCTCACATGCTCCGAAAAGGATAAAACTGTGTGGGGTACACCCATCGCCCAATTCCTTGCGAGCCTATGGGTCGCAGGCCGACCAAATGGTCTCTTAGCATATATGATTTTTTGGGATCCTTTGTAATCTCATCATGAATTTTGGGATCATGTTCCCATAACGAACTCCAACATAAAAAAAAAAAGGTGGTGGTTTGATAGGAGTTAGCCTGGAGGGTATGGTGAGTGCGACATACACCGGCCTGTTATCCCTCCACCGTCAAGAGCGGGAGGTGGGTGGTCGCTGCTATGACCTATGTGCAGGGCCCTGAGTTTGACTTGTATGCAGGGCCCAACGACAAGGAAGCGAACGATGATTGCTCTGCTCGACTCGACCCAACGACCTGTTGAATCTCGAATTTTGATGATGAAGTCAATTGTCATTTGTTTATCTAATCTATATATTGAGAAAATTGTGTAGAATTAACTATGATGGTTGTAAGTCATGCAGTAGGTGTTGAGCTAGAGTCAAGATTAAGATCACGTTGGGAGTATGAGAGTTCGTCGGAAGTCCAGACGTTCATCGGAAGTCCAGACGTTCGTCGGAAGTTTTGCGAGAACCATTCGAGAAGTCTAGGAGCTTGCCATAGAAGCTCATCGGAACTCACTAAGAAGATCATCGCGAAGTCTAAGAGCTTGCTGGGAGTCCGCCGGAGCATCGCCGAGGGTTCGTCGGATGTTCGTTGGAAGTTCGCCGGAAACTCGCCGGAAGAGCGATTGACGCACCGAAACATGAATTACAGTAATCATGTCGTAATTATCGTAGTTAGAGTATAGATTAAGTTAGGATTGGTAGGTAATCTCACTAACTTAATTAGGGGCCAATCGAGCCCTTAACAGACCCAAATTAGGCCGAATGGAACGGCCCATTCGGCCCCTAAAATCCTGGCCGGCGGTGGCACCACCTGGGAGACTCGGTCTCCCAGGATTTTTGGGCAGTGGTACTGCCCTTATCAGGTGGTGGTACCATTGGCAGTTATTGCTGCCAGAGGTGGTACTGCCCCAGTCAGGCGGTGGTACCGCTAGAGCTCGGTCTCCGAGCTCTATTAGGTGGTAATACCGCCTAGTAATGGCGGTGGTACCACAAGGACCCTGGAAATATGGGAATGGACACTTTTAGGCTCCATTTTTGAACTCATTGGAGTCTATATAAACCCCACCCTTTCCTGCATGAAAGGGCACCGAAATATTGAAATACTCAGTCATTGAGGCCTTAAAAGTGTTGTAAAAGAGCTAGAGTTCTCCTCCCTTCTTTCTAAGTGTTTAGATCATTCAAGAGAGGAGTGAAAACTTGTAAAGGTTGTCTCCTAAGCCCGGCAAAAGGAGAAAAGCTGTAAAAGGGTGGTTGGCCTTCGTTTATTGAAGAAAGGCCTCTAGTGGACGCTGGTGACCTCGTCGGAGGAGGAAGCCGATAGTGGATGTAGGTTATGTTGACCGACTCTAAAATCTCGGTTTGCATTTACTTTGAGTATCTTTTTCCTTTATAGCAAACTGCCTCTCTTCCTTACTCTACTTTAATGACGTTTACATACGCTTTGACGTAAACATCTTCCGAAATCAGTTTTACTCGTATGAAGTTCTTACAAAACCAACTCTTTTCATTTGTGCACTTTACTTTGCTACAATTCACCTTAGTCTTCTCTTGCCCTTTCACAAAAGGTTTCAAGTTCAAAGTTCTTCTGAAAATGATTAAGTTGAAACCATTCTTATTGAATCGGCTTTAATCGAAATAAGTTTTCTGAAATCGTAAAAGTTTTTCACTGTACTAATTCACCCTCCTGCCCCCCCCCCCCCTCTTAGTGCGTTCTTGATTCTAACAATTGGTATTAGAGCAATGTTCACTCTCAATTGGATTAAAACCCAAGAGAGATGGCATTTGCTGGGAACCAAGAGGGTCACTCAATTACACGTCCTCCTATGTTCAATGGGACGGATTACACCTATTGGAAGACTTGAATGAGGATCTTCCTTATTTCTATGGATTTTGAGTTTTGGAACATTGTTAAAAATGGTTTTCAAAAGTTTTCTCTTCTAATGAATGATTGGAATGAGTTGGAGAAGAAGACTTTCACGTTAAATACTAAGGCTATGAATGCCTTGTTTTATTCATTAGATAAAAACAAGTTCAATCGTGTTTTGATTTGTGAAACGACTTTTGATATTTGGCATAAACTCAAAGTGACCCATGAAGGCACGAGTAGAGTGAAAGAGTCAAAAATCAACCTTTTAGTACATTCTTATGAACTATTTCGAATGAAACCAAGTGAGACCATAGGAGACATATACACCCGTTTTACGGATGTTGTCAATGGTCTGAAAGGACTCGGTAAAGGGTTTTTAGATTTCGAGCTCGTTAATAAAGTTTTAAGATCCTTTCCAAAGAGTTGAGACCCAAAAGTCACGACCATTTAAGAGGCCAAAAATTTAAATAACTTTCCTTTTGAAGAATTAATTGGGTCACTAATGACCTATGAAATGACATGCAAAGCTCATGAAGAGCATGAGGACACCCTTCCAAAGAACAGGAAGGATATGACACTTAGAACTCAAGAAGACCACTTGAGAGAAAACTCAAGTGATGAGGACTTTGACGATGACTTGACACTTTTAACAAAGAAATTCAAAAACTTCATTAAAAGAAATAAATTAAAAAATGACACTAAAAATAAATTTAAACCCAAGAAAGACCAAGTAATTTGCTATGAATGCAAGAAGCCGGAACACTATAAA